GGACTCGAACTGCAGTCGACTACATGGGAGTCCAGCGACATAGCCATTACACCAAGTGCTGGTCCCTTGTTTGTTTTCTTCTGCACCCCCCATTACAAAAGTAATCTATGACCCCTCAAAACAAAAGGATAATGAAAGGCCCAGGACACTGCTGCTCTGTGGGCTGAAGCCACGTGGGAGGCCTGGCTTCTAGTCCTGGTCCACCCTGAAAAGCTGGATGCAATGGCCCACCTGTACCACTGGGGAGACTGAGGCAGGAATCTAGTGACACAGAGAGACCCTTATCTGAAACATCACATACATACACAAAAAATAAATAATAATTGTATTCCTCAAAAACAAGAATAAAGGGCAAACCATCTCATGCCACTCAGCAGCACAGCTGGTAATATTTAAATATTCCTTGGGATACATGGGTGCCACATTTACAAGCACACCCTTGTTTGTTTTCTTCTGCACCCCCATTACAAAAGTAATCTATGACCCCTCAAAACGAAAGAATAATAAAAGGCCCAGGACACTGCTGCTCTGTGGGCCGAAGCCACGTGGGAGGCCTGGCTTCTAGTCCTGGTCCACCCTGAAAAGCTGGATGCAATGGCCCACCTGTACCACTGGGGAGACTGAGGCAGGAATCTAGTGACACAGAGAGACCCTTATCTGAAACATCACATACATACACAAAAAATAAATAATAATTGTATTCCTCAAAAACAAGAATAAAGGGCAAACCATCTCATGCCACTCAGCAGCACAGCTGGTAATATTTAAATATTCCTTGGGATACATGGGTGCCACATTTACAAGCACACTCAGACCCACACACTCCTGGATGTAATGCGCTTTCCGCCTACACTGTGGAGGACATCTTTCCATCTCAATAGAGATCTGCAGTGTCTTTGGACTGCAAGGATTCATGGAAAGGATGCTTCGTAATTTATTTCCCCTGCCTCCTATTGATGGGCATGGAGGTTGTTGCCAATTTCTCACTATTGTAAACAACACCGTGGCTGTCATCTCTGGGCAACTGGGTGATTTATTTTCTTAGGATAAATGGAGCCCAGCTTCATTCTTTAACACACGGGAAGACTTTTCTGGAGGGGCCTCACAGACAAAAAAAAAAAAAAAAGTCTCCTGGCCAACATTTCTCACCCCATGCTTCGGTCTCTGCTCAGCTGCACTGACATCTAGGAAACACACAAGGTTCAGGTCACACAGACCCAGCCCAAAGAGAAAAGGGCTCTCTGTAAACTGATGTTAAATAAACTTAGTTATCATGAGAAATGACAAATATTAGAAAATAAGCCTGATTAGAGTGAGCCTGCTGAAATTGCATATCGTAAATCATTACGATGATGTTAAGAAGATGCTTATCCATGAATACACAGGACACAGACTTAGGACAACAGGTAACAAACGAAACGTCCGGAGATAATGGAGTGTGGGCGCTGGGAGGTAAGGTTATTTTCTTCTTGCTATACCTCTGGGTTATCAAAGTTCGTTAATACATATATAGTTTTATAATGAAAAAATGGGAAAAGTTAAACACAAGAAAGCAACAGAAATAATTTTTGGTGGGAGTTTATCTGAATGAATGATGCTTTATTCATAGGGTAGAATATATGCAATTATTAATAGTACAAGCATCTCTCACCAGGAAATAATTTTTGTGGTGTGCACAGCGCTTTTTTAAGGTATTTCTGTGTCGGGTTCCTCCTGTCCTAGTCTCCTGAATAGCTGAGCTTACAGGTGTGCAGGGACTGAACCTGGGCCTTCCGTGGGAGGCTGTGCAGCAATGTCCCGGCACGTGCTGCCATGGCTGGCCTGAGGATATTTCTGACATGGAAAAACGTTCAAAATCTATGGGCAGGCAGGCCAGCCACAGTGATGCAGCAGCAGCTTGGGCTCTACAATGTGGAACCCATGTGGGAAGGCTCTGGGTTCACGTCCAAGGATCTTCCTGACCCTGGCTGGCTGAGGCCGATGATGGTTCGTGGCAATGGGGACTCCGTAGGGGACACTGTCTTTCTCATGGAAGCAGTAAGTTAAAAACAAAAGTCACTGCTGAACGAAAAAGGGAAAAACAGCAGGTGTCATATAACCCTAATTCTATTTCTTAAAAACTTTGTATAAAGAATGTACAATTTGTACAATTATATATATATGTGTACATATAATACTACACAGGTAAATGTTAAAAGACCATCTCTGAAAAGCAGTGAAGCATGCATACTCTTCTGCTTCCCAAGGCTTCTGCACTGACTATATTATGTTCGAAATTGAAAAATACACAGTCTAGAAATCTTTTTCAAGTCACAGCGCCCCTCCCTCTACTCCTTTCCTCTCTTCTTTGATTTATTTATTTTTTGGTAGGGATTTTGCTATAGGGTGCGTGTGCTTGCCGAAGAGACGGAAAGAGACAGAGATAGAAAGCGAGAAATCACCCTCCAGGCGGAATGGTTATGGCACAATCTCTTCTCCTCCATTCTCTTTTTGGGATGTTGGGCACGCATGCACACGCACCCAGCATGAGTTCTAAGCCACTGGGGTCCAGGACTCGAACTGCAGTGGGCCAGGTGGGAGTCCAGCGACATAACCATTACGCCATCTGCTGGTCCCTCCTCCCTCTTTTTAAACTCCGTGTGGGACTCTGAAAATGGCTGCATCTGTTTAATAACCACACACTTGTCTGTTACCCCCTCTCCACCAAAATCTTTCTCCTAAATACGTGTGCCTCAGTTTCCACCTCTGTAAAGCTGGCATGACACTGCCCTCTGCTGCCTGACCTTCCCTGGGGTTGCTGTGGGGACACGGTGATGGCAAGTGTGACAGGGCTGTCAGTGCCGGGACTTGTGGTGGGTGAGAAGCAATTGCCCTTCTTAGGTGGGTCAAAGGCCACAGAAATGCAGGAAGACGGGGCAAATGGGGTGTGGAACGGCATACCACGATGGAGGGGAAACGACAGACAAGGCCAGTCTTTTACTGAGTTGTTGGGAAAGTCGTGACACATTTTGCATAGAAAAACAGAAAAATACACCATGACTTTCCAGCCACCTAATACCTAACTCTCCAACGCCTTCTTTGTTGAAGACGATGAATGCGGCATTATCCCTGGTTTGATTGTCGCACACGGCATGCATGCTTTGAAAATCCATGTTGTGCCCACGGAGATGTACAACAGTAAATGTAAATAAATTCTAAGATAGAAATGGAGAAGAAAATTCATTCACCTGTTTCTTTTCACTTTTTGAGGTAGCTGTTAGAAGATCTAAAATTATTCTTGTGGCTTATATTAAATGCCTACTGGACCGAATTGGTCTGAATGAAAGGCTTTTTTGTTGATTTTCCAATTCTCTCCTCTCCTTGACCCCCGTTGGTTTGGAAGATAAGCACTCTGTCTGTTTTTACTGTCATAGTTCTCAAAGACCCAGGTCCCTGGGCCACTTGCATCTGCAATACCTGGGAACTGTTAGGAGCAAACGTTTGGTGACCTCAGGAAGATAAGTACTCTGTCTGTTTTTACTGTCCCAGGTCCCTGGGCCACTTGCATCTGCAATACCTGGGAACTGTTAGGAGCAAACGTTTGGTGACCTCAGCCAGATATCCTGGAACAGAAACTAAAGGTAGGGCCCAGCAATCTGTCTTAACAATCTCTTCAGGTGATCTGGATTCATGCTGAAGTTCTAGAACCACTGCCTTAATGGCCTACCCTTGAAAGCTTATTATCACGGGAGCCAGCAGATGGCGGAGTGGTTGCGTTGCTGGATTCCCACATGGCTGACCGCGGGTGGAGTTCTGGACCCAGAGACTTGAAACTCACGTGGGGTATGCGTGTGCGTGCATGTGTGTGTGTGTGTGTGTGTGCAGAAAACGGAGAAGGGAATGTTGTGTGGCCATCCACTGTGGGGAGTGATTTCTCATTTTCTGTTTCTGTCTCTCTAGCAAACACATGCACCCTATGGCAAAAATCTCTCAAAAAAAAAAAAAAAGAGAAAACTTACTGTGCATGCTTACCTTAAAACCTAGGCTAAACAATATCTTAATGTCCTGTCCTGAATAGCGAAAATTATTTAAAACGTAAATTCTGATCATATCTCTTGATTAATATGCTATCATATCTAAATTCTTTCCTTAAAAAAATACCCTATAATTTAGACATGGGCATTGTGATTATTTATAGTGATATTATTGGCTTAAAGTAATTTACCTACATATTCACTGATTTCTTTGTTCATCATTTCTTCTTGCAGACCTTTCTTCGGAAGTGCCTTTGATTAAAAGCATTTTGGAGGTAAGCTCTTACAACTTTTGTTTATCTGAAAAAAAGTTTATACTTTCACCCTCATCCTTTAAAGAAAGAATTTTGCTGGGTATACAGTTTTAGGCTGGCGGGTTTTTTTTTGTTTGTTTCAGGGCTTTGAATACATTGTGCTGCTGTCTCTTTTTGCTAAGGAGAAGTCGGCTGCCGGTCTACCGTAATTGTTCTTTTATAACGACTTTCCAGATTTTCTCTTTGCCTTTGGTATTCTGCAGTTTCATTATGATGTGGCTAGATATTCATTTCTTTTTATTTTTTTCTAATTGATGTAAATGGTGCTTCCTGTGTCAGTGGGTCCATTTTGGGGATATTCCCAACCATTATCTTCTCCTTTC